TGTTTTTCGAACAGATAAGTTTAGTTTAAGATACGTTTGTATTTAAAAACAGTTTATCAATCTATTACATAAGCCTTAAACTGGCCATGTATCTATTACGTAGATTTTGTAAAACTAGTAATACTTTGAAATTTACTATTTTCTAATGTGTTTTGATAAACTAACAGACTTTTATTTATAATATGATGTTTTTTACTGTACCTGTACACTAAAATCATAATTACAAGAATCTGCAGGATCATGTTCAGTATCTGTTCTCTGCCTTTGCGTGCATGAGATTCATAGAGGCCATTTTGTAATATCCAGCAGTTACGCTATTAAACGATATTGCTCACATGAAAAAAGTATCATTGAATATTAAAAGTTTCTTTATGACTTGTAGCTACGGAATTGACTCCCTAAATACAATAAAGATTTAAACTTATATGAGAATGATTAAACCCTCATGGGAATAATGTACTTGAAGCTTTATCATTGCTTCTTTATTGCTTTAATACTTCTAAAAATGAGAAGAGTGGCTAATTTCCCTGTAGAGTATTTTACATTTAAGTAAGCCAATAGTACCTTACAAATAAAATGACGCATTAGTGGTTCCGTCACTCTTCAAGTAAACAAAGCGTGACGCCAGTTTCACTGCTAAGTTAGCCAGTGAAGGGTTGTTACAATAACACTTTTTGCAAGATGTAGACGTATTATTCATATGTAATATATATATGTACATATAGGAAAGTGATTCACAAAGTCTGACATAATCCAGGTCTTATTCCTGAGTAGCTTACGTATAAAAAGTCTGACATAATCTAGGTCTTATTCTAAAGTAACGTACTGATAATATTACAGAAGCAGAGTAAGACTTTTATTTCAGTGTGTGTGTGTGTGTTTCAGATATGCGTTCATATTTAGTCTTTATCATGTTGATGATCCCTTTTCTGTTAGTAACAACCTTTAAAGTAGTTACAAATATATTCCAACAGGTGGCGAGTTTTGTATTATATACTAAGCAAGCGGATCAACTTTTACATAATTATGTTTTTATTTTATTCAGAGAAATGACAATAAATTCTATAAGATATGAATTGTTCTATTATTAGCTTTTTGTATACTAAATGACTGGAATATTACCTTGTACACATATATAATATAAAAACTTCATCAATTAGGTTTTGAATAATAACAAATTATGGCTTCTTTTTTGTTTATTTCTGTACGAAATTAAAGTAGTAAATTATCTATTAATCGAACAAGTTGAAAATGGGAGTATTAGTTATCGTATATATGGTTAAATTACCTTATTTTACAAACCACGTAAGTGAGTTTAATGTATTTTATAGTTTTGTGTTGTGACATCACATATATATTAGGCGTGTTTTTGGAAACATCACGTGCGATTTTGCAATTTACCTAACAGCACTTGCCACACACCGATCGATTCTGTCACCCTTGAGATTTGATGTATTATTAAAGAAGTAAGTTTTGTCTAGAATTTTTTTTTTCTCATATAGTGCACTAGGTAATTAATGAACGTAGGGAAGTAGCTAATTTCGGTAGAGGAAAATGATGTTTTAAAGATTTTCTTTTCAATAAAGAAATTATGCTGAAAAAAAATAGATATATTTATAGTTACTACGTCGCTCTTTGACATGTACACTCTGAATGGTTGTTGGAAGTAATATGACGCCCTCTGGTGGCTCATGAGTAAAAAGTCTAACAGCTTACAACTCTGAAATTCAAGTTTCGATATCCACGATAGGCAGAGCGCAAAGGTATTATGACATCAGTCTTTGGGAGTGTAGTGATGAGTTTTCAAATTATCCACCAGAGGGCTCATACCAAATTTCCTTATTTGTAAAAATAATGAATTATTACGTCATAACTGTTTCTACTCTTGATCACATTGAGATGCATTTCGAATAAAGTATAGTACTGATATATCATTTTTATTCATTTGCTGTTATGTTAATCAATTGACCTTAGATTAAACCTTACTTAATATTTATTTCATATCGCAATTATTTATAGGTAATCATTCGTTATTTTAATCAAAAAAGATAAAAAAGTGATATTTTTTATAATAGATATGCGATGATTATAATATCACGTGACAGAAATATAATTGCCTGTCTTTATTTTACACAATCAACTCACTTGAGGATAAAACTAGCCCCCTGTTTTTGTTTACTAGGTGGGAATAGACACCATTTTGAACTTTGTTTTGGGATCCATTACAAAATTTCAGACAGACAGACTTTAACGTAGGAAGTCTTTACTATCTCTGAAAGAACTTTAGGAGGAACTTTCTATAATTGTTATAGGTAAAAAGAGGGCCGGCATGGCCAGGTGGTTAGGGCGCTTGACTCCCCATCTGAGGATCGCGGATTCGAATCCTCGTCCCACCAAACATGCTCGCCCTTTCAGCCGTGGGGGCGTTATATAGTGACGGTCAATCCCACTATTCATTCGTAAAAGAGTAGCCCAAGAGTCGGCGGTAGGTGGTGATGACTAGCTGCCTTCCCTCTAGTCTTTCACTGCTACATTTGGGACGGCTAGCGCAGATAGCCCTCATGTAGCTTTGTGTGAAATTCAAAACAAACAGGTAAAAAGAATGATTGGCGAGAAAAAAAAATTCTTATTTTTCTTGCTACAGTGTGACTTTCTTATGCTATTCTTGCGGTTGTTCACATATTTAGATGACACTTATTCTGACTTGTAATAATTTGTTGTTGTATTTCATGATTAATGCATGAACTACATGCTCACTGTGTAAATACAACGAATCACAGCTTGCGTCCCGTTGCCTCAAAAACTGTGTTCCACACTTTGGAGCCACGTGTTCGCTATAAGAGTGGCCTTAAAATTCCATGTTAAGAAATTCACATTTTATAAAACAACGATTATTTTTTAGACAGTTCTAAAAATGAGACTGTTCTCAGTCTTAAAATTACAATAAAACACAAATAACTTACTGTACAGGGTAAAAACAAAACAACAAAAACGGATGACGCAGTAAAATACGTCGAAGCATGTTTGTATGAGACTGTTTCCAGTATCATCCGTTCCTATTTTTTTTAACCCTGTACAGTAAGTTAGTTAGGATCTTATTGTAATTTAGAGGCTGGGAACAGTCCCATTTTTAGATGGTTTTTTAAAATGTCAGTTTTTTAACATTGGGCGCTACTCATGGGCCAATGAATTTTTAATTCAGATTCCATATTCGATCAGACAAGAGTACCATAAGATTTTGCATTGGGTGCCGTTGGCAGTTGCCTTCTCTCTGGTTTATCAATTCAAAACTAGAGCCGGCTATAAGCTGCTTAGTGACGCTGGCTTAAGACAATATATTTAAATTTGTATGAAATGTTTTGTAAGTTATATAGTTGACCAGGAGTTCTTATGGAAATAATGTAGACCTTTTACAATAAAGAATGTATGCTAGAATTTTTTAGTTGAGGTTAAAGTAAATACCAGCGAGGCGCCCATGCCAACATGGTAAGTCATTTTTATCAAGGTAAACATGTGAAGTAAACACAATCGATTATATCTATGTTATTGATCACGTAATATTACAATAACATTTCCATTATATACTGATCACGTAATATTACAATAACATTTCTATTATATACTGATCACGTGATATTATAATAACATTTCTATTATATATATATATATATATTGATCACGTAATATTACAATAACATTTCCATTATATACTGATCACGTGATATTACAATAACATTTACATTATATACTGATCACGTGATATTACAATAACATTTCCGTTATATACTGATCACGTGATATTACAATAACATTTCCGTTATATACTGATCACGTGATATTACAATAACATTTCTATTATATACTGATCACGTGATATTATAATAACATTTCCGTTATATACTGATCACGTGATATTACAATAACATTTCCGTTATATACATATCGCCATCGATTTATTTCCCAATAAGTGTAATGAACTACTTATCAAACTTGTATGCTTGATCACACCATAATAATTAAAGTATATTAAGGTACAAAGGTATACACTGAATTAAAAAATTCAAAGTTGTAATCTAATTCAGTAGTTCTCAATTTTTTTCTCCCTCGGACTAATTCGACAGGGCGAAAGATCTCCCACACCACCTACCGGTCGTACCCAATCACTCTGATCTCTCGGCCGTAGCGTTGTATGTTAGTTGTATTTTGGACGCTATAAACCGGGTTTCGATACACGTGGTGGGCAGATCAGAGATAGCCCATTGTGTAGCTTTGTGCTTAACTGAACAAACAAAAGAAACAAAAGCATTTTGGACCAGGCCACGGACCACTGGGTCGATCACACTTTGAGATCCACTCATCTCACGCAGTTATCAATTAGAATCAATATGGAGCCATTATTCATCAAAAAAATATGATTGGTATCGCGATCTATGATGGTTGTGTATAGACTTAAGTATTCGCGTATCTGATGTCTTAACTCTATCAACCAATTATCACTTAAATAACAATATTCAGGTATATTATTTTTAATCTTTAAAAAAATAACTTTTTAGTTATAATTGTTTTTATAAGTTTTTATGGTTTATTGGAAAATTAGTCGCGCCTTTCTCATATTTTAAACACATAAATGATTACTGTAATCTGTGTGACATTTTCATTTGCTGGAGAAAAATTATTGCTTTAGCAGAAGCTTGACTACGTATAACGCTTAAATTCAAAATTCGATTTTTGCGATTTCCCAGCGGCTCAGTGGTGCCAAGGGCTTATTACGCTAGAATCATATTTCAATATTCACGGTGGGCAAAGCAACGATAGCCCATTTTATAGCTTGTGTTTAACAAAGAACAAACACATCAACGGAGAAAGTGCACTGTGCAGCTTTGCACTTGAACGAGAAAGAAGAAATATTTAAAGGAAAGCTACGGAATTTTAGAAAATATAGATAAATAATAATTTTATTGTTTTCAACAAAAAACTAATTAGAGTTTCTTCTGTTTCAGACTTTTGAGATCCACCTGACCCTGCGACACTGGTGGCAAGATGAGAGATTAAAGTTTGACCCAATGAGAGGAAAGAGTGTCGTAGGGTTGTCAACATTGCGAAACCTTATTTGGACTCCGACCCTCTTCTTCTTGAATGAAAAAGACAGTGAGATGGTAAAAACAACAGAAGATAATGTTTATGTAAAAGTGGACTCCAATGGGAAAACGTACATGGCCATTAGGTAAACAAAAGGCTTGTTTCTTCATTTTACTAAACACTCTTTACTTCGCCTCTACAAAGTTGCGTTTCGTATCGCTGAGACCGCCCATTCTATATATATCTACGTTTCCAAGTTGGTCAGCGGTAAGTTAACGGACGTATAACGCTAAAATCCGGGGTTTGATTAACTGTGGTGGGGAAAGCGCAGATAGTCGATTGTGTAGCTTTCCACTAAAAACAAACAAGCTCCATCTCGACAAGAGTAATGGAATTTGAGCCACGCCATCTGGTGGCTTTTTGGCAGCACTTACCAAGCTACCTATTTAATCTTACTTTATGACATGTTCGGGAGTTTACAATTAGCAAAGTTTTTGCTATTCTTTTTTGATGCGAGTTCCTATTGACGTGTGAAATAATCAAATATTTAATGAGCCTCAGTTCATTTAAGTGGCCACATTTAATAGTAAATGTTCGAAGAATTTTGTGAGACGTATTAGGAATCCTTGTAACATCATGGCAATTGAATATTATAGAAGAATAGAATGTTGATGATCTTGATATTGTGTGCAGCATACGAAAAATATCTTTCATATTATTCCATATTAGATGGAATTTTTTACTGAAGTTTATAAAACAGAAATACATGTTAGCATGTTTGTCAGTCATAAAGTGCACCATTAAACCTTCTGAATGCAAACAAGTAATTCAATGGAGAAAATGGTGATACCCAGAATTAACTGCATAGTAGAACAGAGAATAGGTTTCAGTGCTTACAACGACTGTGTACAGTAGACTTTGCAAATAATTCAACTTCAAAATTTTACGTTTCCGTTTCTTACCAGAATAGGGTTTAGAATTAGAAAACTTCACTGTAAAACCAAACCTTCGTATAGAGAGTGGCTGGGATGAAAACATATTTGAGATATTTTTCTACCCTATATATGGCTAGATTTTCTAAACACCTCACGAACGGGAAACGCCAGTAATGCTAGTACACTGAGTAGAACAACAGGGACGGCTACTATGAAAGTTATATTACTTGGATCTTTTGATAACGAACATTTAACGACGTTAAAATTAAATTATAAACTAATATTCATGATTTAAATCGACCAAAAATTATTACAATCGATAATTAGTATGTTTCTTGACTACATAGAGGAAAACTGGAACTGGTGTTTTTCACTGTGTTAACTTTGGTTCATGTAATGAGCGATCCTATTATTTCCCCGAAAGGGAGCCAAAGGTTTCCTTAGGGGCAGCTTGTTTTAACCACTCACACCTCAATACAGTAGTATGTCCTCTGTCAGTCAGTCAGTAGACACTAAAATAACGTCACATAAGAGACGTTTAAAGTTGCACTTTGTACTGTCGTGACGTCAGTAAAACGTGCGCATGCCATGAATCACGAGAAGAATTATGCACTCTGTAGGCTACAACACATCATGACATATGAACTTCAAAAGCAAGTAATATAAACATTTGTTACTTTTAATTTTGGTTTTTCTTGAAACAGAACATTTTCTGCGACCCTGCAGTAGTACATCTACTATAGATTTAAAAGTAGCGGTTCTTCATACGGCACTCAACAGTAACAGTACAACGGTTATCAAACCTACCACTTGGAGCGCTTCTATTTAGCCTGATTACATTTATCCAACTCAGCGAACGGTCTTTGAAATAAAGGGTCTTTGGATAAGTTTGTTTTGTTTATTTGAATTTATGCACAAAGCTACACAATGGACTATCTGTGCTCTGCCCACCACGGGTATCGAAACCCGGTTTCTAGCGTGGTAAGTCCGCAGACATACCGCTGTGCCATTGGGGGCCTTTGGATAAGCTAAGTACGTATCGATAACACAGGCCTGCGAATTTAAACTTCATAAAAGTTGTTTTGGTTTTTAATAAAGGACTTTCCATAATTCAACTTCACAGATTTCGAAAATAATATTCATTTTCTCCATCATGTAAGGATTTTTTACAAATCGGGAAGAAAAAACTTTTACTTAGATCAAATTATTATTTTGTTTACCACAATGACCATTTTGTATTATTATGTTTGTTAAAAAATACAAACAAACTGAAGAGAATGGAAGAATATTGATGTCAAACGAATATGCATTCTCATTCATCCTGATTTTTTTTTTTGTGAAATCTACACCTTCTAGTTTCAAAACTACGTGTTGTGGTCTTTCTTTTATGTATTGCGTTATGACGTTTTGTGAAAAATCTGTACGTGATGGAGAAGAATGGATATCATTCTCGGATTCAGCGTACAGGATTTACTGTAGAACGTGTGAAAATATCAAGACAATAAAACCATCGCGGGCTTGTGTAATTCATTGAAACGATATATTAATCAATACATATGTTTAATTCAGTTCAAATGTAGTTGACATGTTAATTAATATATATACATGTTTACTTCAATTAAGACGTGATTGACATGTTACTTGATATACATGTTTACTTCAGTTAAGTCGTAGTTGGGAAGTTTTGTTTGTTTGTTTTTGAATTTTGCCCAAAGCTACACGAGGGCTATCTGCGCTAGCCGTCCCTAATTTAGCAGTGTAAGACTAGAGGGAAGGCAGCTAGTCATCACCACCCACCGCCAACTGTTGGGCTACTCTTTTACCAACGAATAGTGGGATTGACCGTCACGTTATAACGCCCCCACGGCTGAAAGAGCGAGCATGTTTGGTGGGACGGGGATTCGAACCCGCGACCCGCAGATTGCGAGTCGAGTCCCCTAACCACCTGGCCATGTCGGGCCAGTGGGAAGTTAATTGATATACATGTATATTTCGGTTAAGACATAGTTGACATATTAATTGATATACATGTTTACTTCAGTTAAGACATAGTTGACATATTAATTGATATACATGTTTACTTCAGTTAAGACATAGTTGACGTATTAATTGATATACATGTTTACTTCAGTTAAGATATAGTTGACGTATTGATGGAAAAATATATATATTTCAGTTAAGATGTGATTATTTCTTTCGTACATTTCTAAAGTCGTAGACGAAAGATTGGGGTTGAAAAATACTATGATTAAAATTGATTAAAGTTCTTATCCTTTTAAAATATAATTTAGTTTTATAAACAGGTGACCGACCTAGTAACTAAATGATCAACATTCACAACATATGTTCCAGTTGATTGATCAGCTACTTAATATTTATTGAATAGATTAGTAACTTGAAGACTTACTAATTACTAGACATAATATACCAGATGTACTTCCGCAGGGTCCCCGAAAGTGTTCTGTTTTAAGGGTTAAATACAACCAAAATTAAGAGTAATAAATATTTTTATTTCTTGGTCAGAAGTTCATATGTCATGCTATCTTGTAGCCTACAGAGTGCATAATTCTTCTCGTGATTCATGGCATATGCACGCTTTACTGGCGTTACGATAGTACAAATGGCAACGTTAAACGTCGATTATGTGACGCCATTTTAGTGTCTACTGACTGACTGACAACACACTACTGTATAGTGGTGCGAAAGATTAAAGCAAGTGACTCTTCCAGGTGGCCTTCATCCCCCTTTCGGGGAAATAAGTGGTAAATATTTACAGCGTACTTATTTGTTGAATAACCCACTCTTTAATCTAGATTGAGTAGATTAATAACTTCCTGACTTTCTGATGATAAGTAGCATATATTTGAACTATTTGTAGAGTCTAACTTGTTTACTTTGTAACTAAAATAACCCTTATTCAGACTCTGAAGTACGGTCTGGTGCACTTATGAATTATATACTAGAACGTTAAAATCATAAATAATATTCATCGTTAAACTGGTATTATAATATATTTCTTGTGTATGAATCGTTGCACAGAACGTGCAGATGTATGCTACTGCTATTGTTTATTAATAGAAGTTCCCTTTGGATCAATGTTAAAAATTTCGCACTTGATTTCTACAGAATAAATAAAAGACTAGCGCATGCAAAATTGCATAGAAAACATTTTTCAAAACGATTGCAACATGGCTTACGAACTTTTACTTCGTACACTTTTCTTTGTGAAATATATTTGCTGAATTTAAATCGCAATTTTTCACTACCCTCGAAAGAAAATATTCATATGATGTTTCATTGTTCGTTCCTAAGTTTAGTTATATAGCATAATTATTTTACTAGGTTTTTATTCACACTCCTATTGTACAGTGAAGTGACGTATATCACAATATATTTAAATATATATATATGTCTGGAATAAAACTAAAATAACCTTTGATCTTAAGAATTAACACTTGACCACTAAATGTATTATGATAATTAAAATAGATTACCTCTATTTATTCTACTTATTTATATATATTGTCAAAGGAAAGGACCGGACGTGACCCAGTGGTGACCACGACAGGTTGCAGAATTAAGGTCAAATGTTCAAGCTACGTTGTAGTTTTGGTGGTCAGTCTGGCTATTGAGTTAAGAGTAGCCCCGTAATAGGTGGCGGGTGTTGCTGCCTAGTTGCCCTTCCTCTGGTGAGTAATTTCAAAATAGAGGTGGCTATGCCTGAATATTAGGGATTTCTGACCTAATCGTTTAATCCATGTGCCAGATAAGGTGTCATTCAACTTGAAAGTACCAATATACTGAATCAAGGAAAACTAAACTGAGATTAGTCTCATCAAATTGAAAGTACCAATATACTGAATCAACGAAAACTAAACTGAGATTAGTCTCATCCAGTTGAAAGTACTGATATACTGATTCAAGGAAAACTAAACTGAAATTAGTCTCATCCAGTTGAAAGTACCGATATACTGAATCAAGGAAAACTAAACTGAGATTAGTTTCTTCAAGTTAAAAGTACCGATATATTGAATCAAGGAAAACTAAACTGAGATTAGTCTCTTCAAGTTGAAAGTACCGATATACCGAATCAAAGAAAACTAAACTGAGATTAGTCTCCTCAAGTTGAAAGTACCGATATACCGAATCAAAGAAAACTAAACTGAGATTAGTCTCCTCAAGTTGAAAGTACCGATATACCGAATCAACGAAAACTAAACTGAGATTAGTCTCCTCAAGTTGAAAGTACCGATA